TCTCTCGGACTGATTTTGAATTGGCTTGCCTCTGACCACCTCTCCTTGTCTCTGCCCCGGTAAACCCAACAGCCTTCTGTCCCTGGCTACGAGTTTTGCCTGTGCTCTTCCTGGTTCTCGTCTGCCTGTGGCTGTGTGGCGCTTGACTGCTTCGGCTCACACGAGTGAGATCGCCATTCCACCTGCCGCCATCAGAGCCTCCTGCCGAGTTAAACATCTCCTCCGTGTAAGTGCCTTTGGTATTTCCTGTTCTGCTGGTTCTTCAGTCATCCGCCTGACCACGACAACTCTTCTGCCTGCTCCCTCTGGGTTTGTCTGCTCTGCTGCCTGCCTGTCACCGACTCCGCTTCCTCATTGACCACAAGTGCTGCTTGCTCCCCAACGGTGCCTTCGTCCTATCCACGAACTCTGAGTTCACCCACGTCTCCCCACGAACTCTGCTTAACCCATGAACTGAAAACTGTTATTACCTGAGCCAAATCCATACTTACCTGCAACCTTTGGTGACTCACCAGTGCTACATTCATCCTGTTGAAAGCATCAATAAAGGTCATTTCCAACTACTCATCTGTTTGATTGTGCTGCAACTGGGTCCTACCACACCCTGTGACAGAACCATTTGTGTGAAATTTTGTTATAACTGCTGTGAAGTTTTTAGTAATGGCTAAAAAGTGTTTTGTGAAGTCACACTGACCTTGACCTTTGACCATTAAAGTCAAATCAGTTTCATCCTTGAGTCCAAGTGAATGTTTGTACCAAATCTGCAGAAGTTCCATCAAGGTGTTACTGAGATGTTGTGTCCATGAGAATGGGACGGACGCAGGACAAGCAGAAAACAATTGCTTTGTTGTTCTGGCTGTTGCCAGGGCAGAGGAGTAATAAACAAATATTGAAGTGTGCATATCCTCTGTCTTCCTTTACCATGGTGCTAGCTAACCTCACAGTCACCACCAAACTGACAGTGGAGGTTATCTCATTGGTTGAAGCCATATAATGTTATATTTATCTTATCTCATCAATACGGTACAGCTTATCTGGCTCTTAATTAATAAAATAAAAAAACAATACAAAAGGAACAGAATAAACAAAATTATTAGTTTCTAGAGCAGCAACAACAATGTTCACAGCAGCAGTCACTGTATATAAACTCAATATCTCTCTGGAAACAAATGTAAAATGTCTAAACTAAATAAAGCCCTGTGTGAATGGATGGCATGTGTAAATAAAAGTAAAATTTCCATTTTCCCTAATTCATTGCATTTCAGTCTTTTGCAATGTTTATTGCGCATGTTCACATCAAGATGATGATGAAAATATGATTTATCGTTCAGCAAAAGTCCCTTCATGAATAAACATTAAATCATAAAGGAGCTTGATGCAGATCACACAGAACCAGTTCTGTGGCCAGTTCTGAGGCATAACCTTAACACCTAGAGAGAACAAGGCCGCAGCACTGAATCATTTGGTCTGTAAGACGTTAAACGAAAGTCAGTTATACCTTCCTGAGGCCCAACATCATCACATGTCTTGTTTTGTTTCAGCAACAGTTCAAAACTTAAAGAGACTGTTTTTTTATCACTTTTAGACAAAGACGAGCAGTAGAACCAGAAGTGTTTTCTGCTTGAAGAATGACTAAAATGATCAGTTATTGAAATAGTTGCTAATTGTTTTTCTCTTGATCAACTAATTAATTCATTGACTTATTGTTTCAGCTCTAACTGAAAGAGAGAAGAGGAGGCCTGATGCTGACTGTGTGACACCTGCAGTGGATCCAGGAAGATTTAAGGTGCTTTAGAAGAGGAAGATCTGACCACAGTGAGCAAGACATTCTTCAGGCTCTGAGGCAAAGCACAAAGGGGATGTATCAAAAGCCTTGATATAGTCGGACATAGGCTAAATCAATCAAAAATAAAGGCTTTTAATAAATCTCCTCTCCTGCCTGAAGAACATTTCCTTTACAACATGGTTTTGTTGTTGCAGTTGGGGTAAGTTTTCCTGGGTCGTTCCTCCGCCTTGTCACTTATCTGGCCCCATGTTACTAAGTGAAGCTGAGAGTGACCAGGTTTAAAGGCCTGGAAAACCAGAATGCATGGATGGACCTGTGCCATCCGTCTGAATGATTTACTGGCAGCTATGTTTACAGGCTGTTAAATGTTCTGCAGCTGATAAGTGATCCAGCCTGTAAACAGACATTCAGCGCTCACTTTTCTCCAGTGGATGTTTGTTTGGTCGCTTGTTTCACGAGCTGAGCTGCAGGACAATACGTGTGTTCATGTTTGTACATTAACCGCTAGCAGGAAAGCTAAGATGGGTGGCTGTTCAGAGTGTGTATCTCTTATGTAGCAGCTGCTGTCTGGCTCACTGTGACTGTGACTCTGCCTCTGATACAACTGACATTACTATTTTATGCAACATTTGTTTGGGTATATTCAAATGCAGACGATAGCTAACTGTATTCTGTTGAATTACTGCTAAACTCGGGAGCACCATAATGAAACAAAAAGTATAAAATATTAATATCTCCATCCTTTCAGATTTCCTCTCAAGTGAGAACAAGTGAGTCACTGATCAGAGATCAGACTGTGACACAAAGAAAACAAAACCAGCCAGTTCTCCCCCTACACCAAACTGAGAGCCAGGCTGCAGATGGAGGGCCCCTCTCCTCAGGCCTGCTCAGGCTGTGCTGAGACCAGCTCACCTTTTAAACCAGGCCTATTCAACTGGTGGCCCATGGGCCAACTCCAGCCCGTCAATCAAGTCTGACGGCCCGCCGATCAATGTTTGATTACAAATACATTTTTTCTACAATAAATCCTCTAAACCACAGAGAGGCTCTAATAATGCAGCAGCCCCCTTGGTAAACAGTTTCACCAGTCCCAGGAAGTAACTGCAGTGACTGTTCCAAACTTTCAACTACAGTACAGGGATGGTACTGAAACCCGGTATTAAACGGCCGTCGTGTAGTAGAGATAAGGTCCGACGTCTCTCTCTGAGCCTGTATGTATAAGGGGCAGGGGCAGCTCTGTTTCATGCTGAAGCACTATGTAGCACACACACACACACACACACACAGATGCTGCTCAATGGCAGAGAGACCTAAATGTTCAGTGTAGGTCACATCCAGTGAAAGTCTGTCACATACAGACGGAGAAATGCACTGTTTTCGACCATCAGCCCGTACTTCATCCGTCGTTGCATCCGTCGTTGCGTTTTTACGCTGCAGTCTGGAGCCCACACACAGAGTTCACTGAATTATATGAATGTGGGTTAATGATGAAAAGTAAACATTAACCAGTTGATTGTTCTGGGTGTGTTCCTAAATTCAGTGTGAAATGGAGCATCATCTGAACTGTTCAGAAATTCAGTTTCAGGTTCAGGTCACTCAGAGCAGGTGGGGGGGTCAGTGATGTGGGGGCCGCAGGCTGCACAGTAAAAATACAGTCACAGAAACAGTCCTGTAGTAAATCATTGTGTATCACATTTGTTTTACATTTCCATCATTACAAAATCAGTGTATAATAGTGATTTGTTTGAAACAATGCTGTTAAAGTTTGTTTAACAATACAATATCTAACAACATCCATCACTGGTTCTGTGGCATCAAATGCTCAGGCAGGTTCAGTTCATCTTGAACTTTTTAATTCTCTTTGCTCTCTTCTGTTGTTTGCCTTATAAAATGCTATTTGCTTTGTAAGAGATGTCAGAATTAACCAAAAGATATACCAGACAGCTGACATGGTGTGTTGTAGAAAACTATGTGGTTACTACTAATATTGGAGCTTGTGTTGCACAGAAAATCTAATTAACCACTTTGCCTGATTACTTAGAGCAGGCCTATTTATCTTCGTTTTTAGTCAATGATTAGGCTACTTTTGCAATGTGGCAAATTAACAGTTTTGAAAATGTGATGCCGTCTTGTGTTGTCAAGTATACATACATAATGAGAATAGCTCAGGGAAATGTCTGGCCCCCGGGCCCTTAGCTTTCAGGAAATGTGACCCCCTGAACAACACAGTTGAATAGCTCTGTTCTAAACCATGTCCCTGATGCTACTGCCTCTGAGACAGAATCTAGTTCAGGTCATATCTCTCTGAGCTACCTGTCCGCGTCCGTCAGCCAAACCCAGCTCATCCTGTGCTACACAATCAGTGACTGAGTGAAGGCTATGTTTCTGCACAGTCTGTGCACATGAAAAGAACGGAGCAAGATGTTTTGAATTCAGAGAATAGAGCGTTACCTCTGTCAGACTTCTGTCAGACTCATACAGGTCAGTTTTACATGTGCCATCCACTTTTTGTAGAAGACCCACCCATTGACTTGAGGAGGGGTTTTACCTGTCTTACCTGATCTGGACAAAGTCATATTCCATTTCAAAAATGTCAATCATGTATAAGACCAGGAACACACAGGATGTGAGCATGGCGGCTGTTAATTTTCATTTCAAAACACGTTAACAGATTGGAATGAACCACTGCCTGCATGAGACGCATGTCTCTCACATGTGGAATGATCTAGAGATTCGGCCTCTCTCCTATTTTTCACGTGTGCCGCACATGTCTTCCCAGCAGAGACAGACAGAGAAAAGACCTGTTGATGTCATAGTGACATCATAGCAGCAACATGACATAAAACGGACTCCTTCCACTATTGTTGTCTCTGTCTGGTCTGAATCTGAATATGATACATGAGACATGAAAAAATATACATGTATTTTTTAACCATTTTAGCAACTGAATGTGGAGACAGTGACACATTACTGATGTTTTCTGTCATAAATAAATTACAAATTAATTTAGAATGACAAGAAATTCAACATTCCAGTAACCTGTAAACTCTATATATAGAGACAGAGCTGCAGCAGCAGAGATGCAGCAGGTGTGAACACGCGTGATTCTCCGCAACAACTCAGAGACATCAGCCGCCACACTCACACAACGCATCCAGTGTGTTCCCAGCCTAACACTAAACAGTAGCTTCTGTTCTGTGGTGTGTGTTTGTACCTGTACTATCAGGACAGAGGACACAGTCGGTGATTCCCCAGCCCTTCCCGATGCCTCTGCAGCACATTTCCCTGCTCCTCAGTCCAGGCAGAGGAGAGCTGCACTGCACACGCACACACACACACACACACACATTTCCTGTTAATGTGCTGAACATACACACCAGAACACAGCTGCATTTTAGTCGCACTTACAAGAGCCTATTTACCTAATGACAAAGTTAAAATCAGTTTGTTTGTCACTTCTAGTATATACACAGGACATAGAAAGGATGAGGTTTCTCCTAGAATCTGGTGTGGACACATACAAGTACTACACATAACACCAAAGGGTTTAAATACACCAGGATAGAAAATATTAAAAGAAAATACTAAGAATTGAAATATTCCTAAATGGAGCTGGGGGGGTTGGGAGTCATCAGTTTGTTTTAAAGTTGCATAGATAAACTAGATGAAAAGGAATTAAATTGTTACACGAATATTGTGAAACTGATGGGTCGCAAGATGAGTAAACTATTAAAAAATTAAATCAATTTAATTGATGAAAAATATATTAGCTGACACTGCAGAAGATGAGGACATATGGTGTAACTGTCAGGACAAGCAGCTTCAAACATCATCAGCACTAAAGTGATGAACCTGTATAAGTGACTCCCTGCAGCTCTGAGTAGAAATGTATTTTACCAGCAGCAGTAAACCTCATTTCCTGGACTGATGAAGTTGGTGTGACAGTATTTGTGCAGTACCTGTCCCATCACAGCAGGTGTTTCCAGCAGCTGTAGTGACGGTATCATGTAGATGAGGTATGCGAGTTATCTTACATAAAACCAGTAAAACCAGAGTCTGCTGTGGGGAGAGACTGGAGCCACCTGTTTCATGTGTATTCAGTAATGTTACATCATTTACTGCTGAAGGAGAAACGGGTCAGACTTTGTTTTAATTGTTAGATAAGTTCAGCACCTTCAGTCTGATCTGATGGTGTTGCTCTGTTTAACTAGAGTGGAAGCTAATTCAAGTCATTTGGTGTTTCATTAATCTATTTGTTAAATTAACACAGCCACTTATCGATTAAGGAAATTGCTTAAAATCTGCAGCCACTGACCTGACTTGATCATTACAGTTCATCCTGAGAGGAGCATGAATGTCTGAACCACATTTTATCACAATCACGTTTGAGTCAGGACCAAAGTGGAGGACAGACCGGCTGACAGATATCACCATCTCCAGCTACAGAAACAAAGTCCTTAACATGACTCAGCGCTGAACATGAAATAAGATCCAAGGTCCAGTGAACAAACAGCAGAATGACAGAGTCAGTAGTTGTGTGAAGTGTGTTGTGTCAGTTGGACATGAGGACTGTGTCCCAGCATCTGAAAACAGAGCTGCATTTTATTATGGAACACAATATGGCTGAGGAGGGATTTTCTATCAGAAAACAGAGAAGTGTTAACACACTGCTTCTCTCTGCAGCCAGAGAGCTAATGTGAACCAGCGGAGTCTCCTCAGCCTGTAGTCACAACTCATTACAGGGTCGCAAAACATTAAATCACTCATGTATTTTCACAATAAAAGACTTGAACAACACTGTAATGAAAAACTAAATTATCCCTAAACGAACAAATGTTGCTCCGTTGATGTGAAAACTCATTTAAAGGATATTTGCACCAATTTCCAACACATCTGTGTGTGTTATTACACACCTGTACACCAGCTGTCATCAAACAAGATGATGCATATTTTCTCACCTCTTTGGCTCCATTAAAATTAAACAAAATCCACTTTTGACTCGTTATCACAGCTCATGGCCTCAGTGCAGATGTGAGCTCTGAGCAGTTCAACAGTCTTTTCCTTCTTAGATCTTTCAGTTTCATTTGAAGGATTGTCTGATGCTTGAAGACTGGAATGTATCCAGCATTTATAAAAGGCAGAAAAAATACACTTAATTTTGTGTAACAAAAGTATTTGTAGCGTCAGTGTCGGTCAGTTGGTCCAGACTGAAACATCTCAACTTGAGAAAATAATCGTGCCAGTTTGAAAGTGATCCCCATCAAAATGAATCCTAATGATCCCTGTGACCTCCTGACCTGAAACTGGTAAGACTGTAGGGACGCAGTCAGGACGTTACAGAGCAAGTTTTGTTAATCGTTACTAATTAAAACCAGGTAAAGCAGTTCCAAAAGTGAGCCCCCCTCCCTGCTGCGTCTCACCTGTCCATCTTTGACCTCTCTGAAGCAGTACTTGAACCCAGAATACTGGGTGTATGTCCCGTCCCCCCTCACTGTCTGGGCCTGGACTGGCCTTCCTGCTGGAGCCGGAGCACCTGCTGACCCCGAGGAGGAGGAGGGAGAAGAGAGCGTCCGTAGGGTGGGACTGAATCCAGACACCTGGAACGATGTGAGGAAAGAAACTGCTCAGAAGCGAAACATCACTGTTGTCTGTGGCGTCATCTGAAAACATGATGACATCATCATCAAAACATTACATTCACAATGATTCAGTGAGGAATGATAACTGATTATTGACGAGCGCCAACACTGGACCACAGAAGCCATTTGTGTGACACCAGGTGTTATTCTACAGCAGCTACAGTGATGAACATGTTATTCACACTACATGGCAAAAAGTATGCAGACACCCCCATCTACGTCTGTTTTTCCTGATTTGGTCTAGACCTGGGATTCTGACAAAATCAAGACAACTGCGTCCCCAACACTCCACTAATGGGGCCTGCTGAGACTCAGTGATGTCATAAATATATTGATATATATATGATATAAGTTATTATTCTTACAGTTATTTAGCGGCTAAACATGACTCAGGTTTTGGAGCTATGGTTGCCATGTAATCATGTTAGCTGTGCTCCACAACTTGGCCTCCCTTATATTTGACATTTTGTGAAACTGTCCCCATTAAAAGTGGCTCAGCTGTGATCAGCTCCTGTTTGCTGTGTACTCATGTATGTACAGACAACAAACCCAGACCCATTATCAGTGTGTCACAGCCCCTCCTGTGTTGGAGATCAGTCGAATCAGCAGCCAAATGAAACCTCTACAAACCTTTGAATCTTTCATTTGGACAACAGAAAGCTGTAGAATGATCATCACAACATGATGATCAATGAAATTCAACACGTGATGACTCACAGTCACTGTCTGGTGTGATCACCTCCTAATGACAACCCCAGGAATCTGTCCAATCACCGAGCACAGCTAAAGCAGCTCAAAGTTCTCACCTTCACCACCTGGTGGATCTTCACGCTGGCCTCAGGGGGGTGCTGCACTCTGACCTTCACCATGGATGGACTAGGAACTGCACATGTTCACAAATACATACATATATATATAAATACAGACAATATGACAGAAGTCAGACTTTCTTAGGCCATAAGTAGTAAGTAGTAATCTCTTTGAAGAAGTGCTGATCCAGGTGAATGTTGTGGGGTTGACCATTAACCATATTTTTTCTGCCTCTGATCAGTACTTTTGTGCATTAACAAATTAATCAGAGTTTCACTTTTTTAAAAATCACATTATTGGGACATCGCTCAAACAATCTTTACAGAATTCCCACAAATGTGTCCGGGGATAAATCTGGCATGCTGGTAAATGACGTCCAAAGCCAAGCTACACAAACCTGACATCATCTTCTGACACAGTGCAGCATCTCAGAGGGTTTGGGTTTATAAACAGAAGACAGTTGTTCTGCCGGTTTTGTTTATATGGCTCTCTGTTGTGATTTTTATTTTTCTATGTCCCATTGTGTATTTGCATAATGTCAAAATGTTAAAATTAATAAAAACTTAAATGACCAATTTCAGGGAGTCCTTCTAGCCTTGGTGACCATAAAGCACAATGTCTCTTGTCACAGCCTTTGCATGCTCCTCATCTATAACAGTGTACGTGGTGTGTTAGTCGTTGGAGCAGAGGATGTGCTGAGAGTTCAGACTTGTTGAGCCTTTACTGGTGCAGATAATACATGAAGAATGAAATTTAACTGCAACAAATTACCATCATACATCTAAAGTACTGAGAAACTTGAGTTCAACTGCAGACTTTCATCATGGAATCAGAAAAACATCCTGATTGGTTAGAAGACGTGCAAATGGTTAGAGAGACTCACCTCCAGACCTTGCCGCCTCCTGGTTCTGTCCCAGTGGCAAGAGGAACTCTGACCTGGTCATCTCCTGATTGGCTGCCATGGCGGTGAAGAGCGCAGGCTTGACGATCTCATTGGTGGAGGATGGGGCAGCTGCGGCAGGGGAAGCTGCGGCGGAGGTGGGGGCAACAGGGATCTGGCAGAACTTTCCAGTGAAGTTTGGTGGGCAGAAACAGCGATCCTTCTGCAGGCAGACGCCTCCGTTCTTACAGAGCAGAGGGCAGAGGACTGCAGGAGAGACAACAAAGACATCTTCAGACTACTATCTTCTTTATTTGGATCCCTGTTAGCTGGTAGCTGTTAGCAGCACAACAGCTGGGATCAGAGGAAAGAAAATCAGGGGGTTTGTAGTGTGGGGAGCAGTAGAGCTAATGACCAAGAGTCCAAACATACAGAGGGCCTCACATTATCTGCTGGATTTTATCAGCTACATCTACTTTTAACATCACTATCATCATTAAGTAAATTATTATTGATGCATGAATAAACCATGATGGAGCCTGCACATAGTTTAGTCCACTCCATCAGTGCAGAGTGTGAGCAGCTGCTGGACCTAGTGACATTTCTCCTCATTCTGTATTCAGCGTTTCATTTTCCCTCAGTGTTACTGAACAAGGAACACAACATAACCAACATACAGGTTCATCTTCTGACCTCCACTGTGAACAATACCCATCAGCTTCAGCTGCTGGTAGAGATTCAGTTGTTGCAGGTTTAAACAAAACATGTCACCATGGTTACTGAATTCATCCAAAAGTATTCACGAATTTAAAAGTGAGTTAATTAAAGATGCAGATTGTAAAATCAGTTTTATCGACACTGTAATTGTTACAGTTCTGTCACTGATGTTTATTGAAATGCATCCCTGGAGCCATAAGTTTACTTCTCCTCTCCTGAGCAGTGTATTTATTACTGTGCAGAAAACATAAGATATCCTATAGGATGGCTGGTCATGTTTTCCTCATCTTATTTTAAGACACAAGAAAAAAACAGAAGCTCTTAATTTACAGACATGGGAATGGCTGATAAAATATCTAACCAATGTGGAGGGAGGACTGTGTTTGGGAATACAGGACGTATATTTAGTCATTAAGAAACTGTCTCCTTTAGTTAAGAGACAGTAAACAAAACTCTGTGTTGGAGTCATGACACAAAATAGAAACAATAAAGAGCCAGATATTTTCTAAAACTGTAATTCATCTGTTGTTCTAATGATTCAACCAGGAGAGTTTGTTTCATGTCCACCTGAAACTCAACCAGTAACCTGGAGTTATTTATGAACTTCATGAGATTTATTAAGGGCTTAGAAAAGATTCAGATTTGATAAGTGGACTGGATACTGGAAAGAGTTTAGTTGACAGCTTCTTCATATCTGAAAACAATACATTTTGACTTTCTCACATTTAACACTAATTTGTTGAAAGAGCATCGATTGATCAAATAAAAATAAGAGCCACGTCAAGTTTCAGTCTGACCAGTTACCAACAGACTTCATTGTGCACACGCACGCACGCACGCACGCACGCACGCACGCACGCACGCACGCACACACACACACACACACACACACACACACACACACACACACACACACACACACACACAGGTCTGAGGCCAACACCAACACACATCCATCATGTTTACAGTCGCTGTGCAACAACACTGGGTTCTGTGTGATGCCAGGTGATGTGTTGATGTAAAACAAAGCTGCTGCTCTGATGGGATGGAGGTGAAAGTGGACCAGGCGCCAACAGAACCAGCCAGCCACTTCCTACTTCCTGTTTGAGCTCGTCTGACAGGATGTTGGTGTATTGTTACCCAGATTTCAGCTAATGAGTTGCTAACACCCCGAGGTCTCTGAGGCAGGAAGGAAACCTGCAGCTTTAAAAGCAGGGCTGTGGTTGAATAGTTCTCTTTGCTGGAATGGAGTGATAGGAGTGAAAAGAATAATTCTGTAAACGAATAAGAAAACAAATGTGGAAATAAAGAGAAGAATAAACAAAGGAGCAAACAATGCCAATGCCCCCCCCCCCCCCCCGCTTTAGCACTCAGGCACTAACATAAAGGCTGTGTATGCGACTTGCGTTGGGGAGATGAAGAAGATAACGCTTTTACTGCACTGATTTAAGATGCTTGCTTCTGCAGGGAGGAGAGGCACACTGGATGTGAGTGAACAGTGTGTGAAGCCTGATCCTCCTCGACAACCCGACATGGCAGCAAACAGAAGTGAGACAGGGACAGTCACGTCTCTGGCTGTGTGGATGCTTCTGTCTTTACCTATGACATCAGGAATGATGTGACACCAGGACATGAACAGTCGTGCATCGCTGTGCACACACAGAAAAACACTGAATTCTCCACCTAAGCATAGGGTCTGCTCCCCACGGCCCTCTGGGCTTCTCACAAGATGACAGTGTTGATGAGGGCACAGTGACATGGCTGCCTGAGACAACTGCTTGCTGAGCTGGAAAGGTGGCTTTGGAGCTTGCTAGATTGGGTGCAGTTACCTCGTGCCCAGGATGTAGGCCACCTGAAGCCGTGAGGATGGAAGTGGCCTCCTCTCTGCTTGCGCTGATGGCCTCTTGGCCTTTCCAGCACCCGCCACGCCTCCCTCCCCTTGACAGAGGGGATGGGGCAGGCAGGCATACAGTTTGCTGGCTGATCCTCACCTCCTCACAGCAGGAAACCAGGGCCAAAATAGAGCTGGTGATCCAACATATCATGCTACTGGGCCTTGCTGTCAGTTCTGGACAGTGCTCTGCAGTCAGGAGGTGCAGTATCTGGGACTGCACCTGGATGCTGGGGCCATGAATGTTCACCTGTCAGAGGAATGTGTGACCTTGCTGGCTCCCTGAGATGCATCCCTGGATGGCTGGCGCAGGATACTCAGTCATGTATGGCAGTATGTGGTCGGGACCAATCCGCCATATCAACATGCTGGAGGTTATATAGATACATATAATATATGTACGTATGTAATATATATTACATGGTTTTACTTTCTAGTAAAGGATCTGAGTATGCATCCCACCACTGATACTGTTTGTGTAAGATACACTTGTGCTCCCAACTGCAAGTGTTTTGCATGTCATGTTTCATGTCTACCCAAGTGTGTGTGTGTGTGTGTGTGTGTGTGTGTGTGTGTGTCTGTATGTGTGTGTGTGTTTGCAAGCTTTGTATGTGAAATGTTTGTTTATTCTACAAGACACATGTTGCACATGTGTGTGTGTTTCAGTGTAAACACAGTGACCTAATTATTATCCTGGGCGCCGCCCACAGATGGACTGTATCAATTTGGAGGAGGAGGAGGTTTCTGGAGGGAAGTGGGGCAAAAGAGAAGAAAAGCAGACAGCTGGTAAAAGGAGCATGCAGCCATAAACAAGGAGAGATTAAAGAGATGAAATGATATAAACACAAATGATGTGACAGAGAATAAACAGGAAGAAACATTAAGGAATGAGTTGATAACAAGTGAAATGATTCATTCTGCTCTGACAGCTGAGGTCTGATTAAAGGAATACTGTGACTCACAACTCAACATCTGACATATTATCAGTTAAAGAAGTTCTGTCTAATGTGATCAAACAGCTGTTTATTTCCACATCCAGCAGTTACAGATCAACATGTGTTGTGGTGTCTGTGTCACCTGATGAATCTCAGTCCAGTGTTCCCTCTCTTTTAGCTCTGTGTTTGGTGTCCACCAGCTCCTGAGGGACATGGCTCTTTAGCTGCTACATGCGCCACTGCTTAACCTTCATTTTTAATAAGGTAAAAGATTTTTTTCGTCAGACTTTTGGATCTTAAGTTATAAAATACTTTAAAGGAGCTATTTGTAAGTGCTGTTTATTATCAGTCTTGCCAAGAGCTTCAGTCGTCGTTGTGTTTACAAGACAAAAGGTTATAATATGTCCTCTCAGCAGCTTGTGACTCGGTATTGGAAAGTGACAAGATGGTACGGCAATAGAGGAAAAGAGACAAGAAAAAAGGTGGGAACCCTTGATGTTGCTCTAACCTCCAGGGTTTAACCAGCTGAGTAACAGGCTCGATGTGCTGGGGAAGCTTGAGCAACATCTGACCACTGTTGGCCTGGAACCCACAGGAAGTCCACTGCCATCACCTTTAAAGTCAAGTGGAGGGTGGAGCCCTTTCACCAGCAGCTTTGGGTCTCAGTGGATTTTACCAGCACTCTGCCTCCAGGGTGACCAGCTCCATGCCAACAACACAACTCCTACATCAGGTTACAATCCTGGTCATAGGTGGCTCCATCATCGGGAATGTCAGAATAAACTGTCCGCGAAAGATCAATGAAAGCTATCAAGATCCTTGCTAACGAACTGAACCAGACATTAATAAACTTATTGTTCATTTAAGTACGAATGTCATTCGTACTTAATGAGACAATGAAAAAGAGTTACTTAAAAGTGATTTGTTGCACTGTGAACAGGGGTTTCAGCAGGCCTTTGTCTCTGCACACCTCGCTTTCATCAGCCTGTGGTGCCCACTGTGTCCCTTATCTTGACAATTTTTATCTCTTCTGGGAATGCAGACAGTTATTTAGAGGTGATGGGAAACATTGAAATTGGTCAGGGACAAAACAATTGATGTCAGCTGTACAAACCATTTCTGTTATTTATAAATCTGTCCATCTTGCTGGGCATAGGAGTCAATCTAAGCGTGCCACCTTCAAAAATCTAATTTATTCTCCTGTGTCTATTGTGCCCACTCAGCCACGCTTTGCTCCCTCTAAAGAGTATGCTACACTTGAAACATCTCAGAAACTGACTATAGACACATTTTGATACATGAAATCTTCCCAGATACCAAAGAATGACATCACTATAAATGGATACAATGTTTTTAGATGTGATAGAGGAAGTAAGGGAGGTGGAGTCTCATTAACATGATGACATTGCAAAGCTCTGGTCACTGTATGCCTCCTCTGAGTTAATAATAATGGGGATCTTAACATGGACTGGCTCTCTGACAGCCTGAACAACGTGAAAGAACAATGTCTGGAGCTAAATCTTTTTCAGCTCATAGATAAATCCACCACACCAAATGTCAAAAATCCTCCCCTTGCAGTTAGTAATCACTGTCCTGTCATCTGTGTCAGAGACACCAAAATACCTCAATCCCCATGTCTCAAGTCGTTGCTGATGGTTTTCAGTCAAACCGTTTTCCATGAGAACTGGGATGCCACAAGTGTCTACTTACTACTACTGTTTACATTATACATGAATAACATAATTGTTCCTAATCAATACTTCAATGTCTATTTTTTTGCTGATGATACAAGTTTAAATGCCTCAGGCTCCCCCCGAGCACAGGCCTTGACTCATCTCCATGTCTGCTTTTGATGCTTTCCAACTGTCACAGACTGGCCTTAAAGGCAGAAAAAACACAAACACAAAGTACATGATTTTCTCCACCACTGACTCTGACCATTCTGCCATTTAAACTGTATTTGACCAATGACTCTTGAGGAATCATACAGATACTTGGGAATTTGTTCTGTTGATTGACTAATGGATTAATCAACAAAATGTTTCAGCCCTCAACTGAACCAGACCGGCAGTGTGTCACAAAACCAAAAAAGATAGTTTAGTTATTGAAATATTTGACTGGATAAAACCCAGGATTTGGTTTTGAATCCATGTGCTCAACTATCAGTCATCACACATTGCTGCAATGTTCTGTTGGAAAAGAAAAAAGCAGAGAGGATGAAAAATGATAGAAAGTCATGAATAGAAAGCAAAGGGGGAGATGGAGGTCATGGTGGAAAGAATGAGGAGCAAAGAGGAAAAGAACAGGAGAAACAAAAAAAGAGAGATGGTGAGAGGTTCAGATGTCCTGTTAAACGGTGGTCATCACTGAGTTATTTCATGGTGGAAACACAAAAGAAATTATTGGAATCTCAAGTCAAACAGAAGACAGACTATGTCAATGTTCATCTTTCCTCTGACTGTTTCTGGGCTCAGGTACAAATGTACAGTGTGCAGTTCAAACATTTCAGAGCCTTGCTGTTTTTCTAACCACTGATAAACTCAGGTTTTATGTTCCACACACACACAGACACAGACACAGACACACACACACACACACACACGCACGCACACACGCACGCACGCACACACACACAGACACACACACAGACACACACACAGACACACACACACACACACACACACACACACACACACAGCAGGTGAAGGTGTGACAGGTTGTGTTGTAAAATTTGAGCTGATAAAGTTAATTCAGAGAGAGAAAAACAAAGTGATGGAGGACCAGCTGTTTGGACAAGGGGATTGACCTTTTGACCCCATGATGTCATCACCTCCTCCTGCGTTTTTGTGTGTGTGTGTGTGTGTGTGTGTGTGTGTTAAGTTAATGATAAATGAAAGCCATATGTCACTGTGTTCCTCCCCCCTCTGGCCCCCTCTTGTTCCTCTCTCTCTGTCTTTCTTTTGCCTCAACCTTCTATACAAATTATTTCCCAAATATCCAGAAAATCTGCATTAACGTTCACTTCCATCCACTACTGCTACTGTTATGTGAATATTATGAGTTGAGTCCGTCAAACCATTAAAGAAGAAGAGATCACAAAGGGATGACATCATTTTTCTAACCCTCGGCTTTTTACTGTTTTCTTCTCTCTGTATTTAATTTACAGGCTTCTGGCAGAGTCACAACATGTATTAGCTAGGCATGCTATGTATGTCAAGTTGGACTACAATGAAATGCCATCAGTTTTCAAGTGAGGTGTACTAAACATGTTGTTGGACAGTTTTTAAATTTTTTTGTTTTCTGTCTGTATGTCTTCGGGTGTTCAACACAAGTTAATATTAATGTATTTTGTTTCTTCTTTTATTCTGTTATTCTTTATTTATTTTCTAATCAGGGGATAATGATGCTCTAAGTTTTGGAACTATAGTTCCCATGATGCGGGAGTTATACTACACTGCTACATGCTAAATGTTTGTTTATTACATTAAGTCAAACTGTCACATTACCAGCAGCTCCTGTCTGCAGTGTATCATGATGTACAGACAGCTATCACTGGATTACTGTGATACTGAGGGAAACTTAAAAATAGGAGGATTCTGAATTTCGTTCTGCAAGCTAATTTTTCTCTGATTTTTAAATTGATTCATGATTATAATTACAGTTTATTGTGATGGAGATACAGATAACGATTTCCTTGGAAATTGCCAGTCACACTAAATCTAAACATGTGTACACATACAAAATCACCTCACAGCCTGGATCCGATTGAGGGGCTGGTTTACAAAATTTATTTATGAACAAACTGAGACACACACTCTGGCTCCATCCACACTACTACATTATGTGCAGTAGTTTTAAAACTTTGGGGTCCACACTACTACTCCTACTAGTTTTTGAGCCCCTACAACAGAAATTTTTGCTGATCCCGATTTAGTTTGAAAACTCTGGGGAGACTTTTGGAAAAAATAACAGACACCTGCCTCGCCTCCAGATGGTGTCTTGTCACTCATGACATATCCTTCCCTGCTTGGTTTTGCTCCTATCAGGTGACCCTTTTTAAGAAGAAAACAAGGACTCACAGTCCACTGCCATAACTTTCAGTGACAGTTCCACCTCGTCCTTTGTCCAAGTAAAGAAATCTCTGGTCCCATCATTCAGATCAACAGTCAGCCAATCAGAAGAGAGGCTGAGAACCTCCTCTCTTCTGATTGGCTCTCCGAACTGTTGTTCCTAGAGCTCCAGAGAGAAGCCTGAGAGAGGAGATGTAAAACTACACTGAGATGGTTTTTGGTTCTTAAAACCAAAAATATATCTTCTTATGGATCAACACTTCAGATAAAACACAGAAGAAGAGGAAAATATGGAGCTTTAAATCAAAACTGTTTTAGTGTGGACGTAGCCTCTGTCTCTGTGTCATTCTCTCCTTTTGGAAACTAATGGAGACTCAACAGCCATTCGGCACCATTCCTGGATGTGACCCTGGCTCCAGAAATCCAACACTGAGCCACAAATAATCAAAACCAGTAGGTATGTGCTGTTAACACCTGGTGTCAGCTGTGAGCCTGGCTTTGGTCGGCTTTATTTCACTGTCAAAGTGACGTTATTGTGACTCTTTTGAAAAATGAAAAAACAAGTACAAAACAGTGAGTTTCCAAAGTTTTGGCATCTAACTATCAGATGTTGGAAGCGAAAGCAACCATGATAGGATTTTTCTGATGGTTCCCTGCTACTCAGACTGAGTAAGTGTTGGCCGGGATGGATCATTACCTGATTCAGGTTGATTTGCATAAAAATACCTGAAAGCAAAGGCTGCTGGAAAAAATGAGAGGGGTGATTTGAAGCTTTCAATTTAAACCAAAGAAGTCTACATCAGTGTTTTCTTCTCTGTGAAGTCTGACCTGTGACAGCTGAGACCTGCTGCCAGCAGGAATGATTTAACAAATACTGACCTGGAATCAGTTCAGACTACACAACTATTCCCTGGCTCCATTTCAGACTCTGCACTCTACCAACCATCAAAGAGCTGCAGGTCACATGACACAGCTGGAGCAGCTTCACACATTACACATGTAACCACATATGTTGAGATCAGATATTTACAGCAGCAGTTGATCTCTCTGTGTTTTCAGCTCCAACACTCTGAGCTTCAAGACAGGTATTTTTCTGATCCTCAGATTCTGTCTGTGTTCTCTGTGCACAGGTGGGAGGCTTGGTCGAACGAGGTGTCGCCAGTTTGCCATTTGTTGGAAACTGGGTGTTAGACATCTGTGTTCAGGAGTTTCACCACACCTGTGTGTGTGTGTGTGTGTGTGTGTGTGTGTGTGTGTGTGTGCTCGCGTGCGTGCGTGTTTGTGTAGCTTCATCTCCAGGTGTAACATTCCTTCAGATTCATTTTATTATTATTAATCGTCCTCTGATTGCACTGATCGCATTGTAATTAAATGATTTTGTTTTAAATCCAGGTGTTCAGTCCTGAAGGCACATCTGGCCTGTTGTGGTACTTCTGTGTATGAAGCTCTTTGTTTAGAGATGAAGTTACCTGCTGCACTGTGTGTATATTGAATGTCTGTTTTTACAAAAATAACATTGATCTAATCTCTGCAGAGATTAAAGTAAGTGTGAGAATTTTACAGTCTGTTGCGCGTGTGTGTGTGTGTGTGTGTGTGTGTGTGTGTGTGTGTGTGTGTGTGTGTGTGCGTGTGTGAAAATCGTGTTCATTCATTCATGTTCAGTATGTGAACAAGTGTTAGGGTTAGGGTGATAAAACATGTCATATCAACAGGGATCAGCACAACAGCAAGACTAATGTGAAAACTTGCACGGGAAAAGACCTGTTTCTGACCCTGATTCTCCTTGTTTCACCCAGTTCTGACTCAGGATCAGTGTTTCTGGATACAGGACTGGGATTAGGTGAGTTCGAACACCTACAGACGGTGAATGTTGAGAGTAAAAATAAAAGTTGCACTTACAGACTCTGAAGCCTGGTCCGTGAGAGCCGTCTCTCCTTCCCCCTCCTCCTCCACCCTCACTGTTGCTGTACAGCGTGGTCATGTTGCCTCTCTCACAGTAGTTGACGCATCGGCCCTGGCTGCAGCGCACCTTGCAGATGGTTGGCGTGAACATCACCTGGATCCTCTCCACCCCTCCTCCTCCTCCCCCTCCTGTGGCTGTCTGTCCATCAGCTGGCAGAAGAGAGATGAAGAAGATGACGGACAGAGAACAGCAGAGTCGAGGCTGCAGCATGTCGAGTGTTGTAGTCACAGTTTCTGAGTGTGTTGCATTGTCCAAACTCCCAAACCTCTCCCCTCTCACTCTTCTCTAACACTACGTCACTCGCCCCCCCCCCTCCTCTTCTATCTCTCTCTCTTTCTTACTCTGTGGGTCGAGTGAAAACGAGTGTCGCAGGAAAAAAGGAGGGAAGGAAGGAAGAAGAAAACGACCAGACGCTTCCCCCTCTCTCTCTCTGCACTCTCTGTTTTTCCCTAAACACTGAGTGAGTGAGTGAGTGAGTGAGTGAGTGAGTGAGTGAGTGAAGTGAAGTGAGCAACTGCGCCTGAGCTGGGGGTGGGGGTGGGGTGGGGGTGGGGGTGGGGGGTAGAGAGATAATTGAAAGCAGTGTGCAGGACTGGGCTCAGCTCCAAACTAAATGTTTAGCAGGGACCTGGTCCATCAGTCCACACGGAGAGAGAGAGAGTATTAGAGCATGAGTCTCTCTCTCCCTCTCTCACCTTCACTCCTCCGGCTCTTCTGTTTTTATGGCCTTTTTCTGGTATGAACAGAGATGATCTATCTCTGCTCACAGTTTCACAACAGACTCCAGGACATTAGAGGATGTCAGGCTGATGATGCAACCCTGGTTTGGGTTTCAGGGGGTCGATCTCAGAAAATATGTTCAAGCTAAAAGGAGCTGCTGCCTGCAGAGGAAAGCAGAGCAGACACTGTAGGTACTTCTTTTTTTGTATTAATAAGTATGTTGTGTTAATTTAACACAACATATTTTTATCATCCAGAACCTGCAACTATACAGATCAATAACGAGCCACAGTGTGGAGCTGGACGGAAACACAGAGCCATGATCAGTTCTGTCCAATTCCAATAAAGTTTATTCAAACAAGACAACCGAGTCCTCAGTGTGTTACTGTGTGTGATACTACTATGAACAGATGGAAGATAAACAGTACAATACTACTGTAACACTACTAATACGTCAGATACTGCTGTAATACTACTTTAATACTACTAACACATCAAATACTACTATAATACTACTGTAATACTACTAACACGTCAGATACTACTGTAATACTACTAACACATCTGTAATACTACTGTAATACTACAAACACGTCAGATACTACTGTAATACTACTAACACATCTGTAATACTACTGTTATACTAACACTTCAGATACTACTGTAATACTGCTAACACATCAGATACTACTGTGATACTACTGTAATACTACTAACACGGCAGATACTACTGTAATACTACAAACATGTCAGAAACTACTGTTATACTAACACTTCAGATACTACTGTAATACTACTAACACGTCAAATACTACTTTAATACTGCTAATACGTCAGATACTACTGTAATACTACAAACATGTCAGATACTACTGTAATACTGCTAACATATCAGATACTACTGTAATATTACTGTAATATTACTGTAATACTACAAACACGTCAGATACTGTTGTTATACTACTGTAATACTACTAACACGTCATACTACTGTAATACTACTAATACGTCAGATACTGCTGTAATACTACTGTAATACTACTGTAATACCACTAACACGTCATACTACTGTAATACTACGAATACATCAGATACTGCTGTAATACTACTGTAATACTACAAACAGGTCAGATACTACTGTAATACTGCTAACGTATCAAATACTATTGTAATATTACTGTAATACTACAAACACGTTATACTACTGCAATACTACTAATACATAATATACTGCTGTAATACTACTGTAATACTACTAACACGTCAGATACTACTGTAATACTACTAACACGTCAGATACTACTGTAATACTACTAACACGTCAGATACTACTGTAATACTACTAACACGTCAGATACTACTGTAATACTACTAACACGTCAGATACTACTGTAATACTACTAACACGTCAGATACTACTGTAATACTACTAACACGTCAGATACTACTGTAATACTACTAACACGTCAGATACTACTGTAATACTACTAACACGTCAGATACTACTGTAATACTACTAACACGTCAGATACTACTGTAATACTACTAACACGTCAGATACTACTGTAATACTACTAACACGTCAGATACTACTGTAATACTACTAACACGTCAGATACTACTGTAATACTACTAACACGTCAGATACTACTGTAATACTACTAACACGTCAGATACTACTGTAATACTACTAACACGTCAGATACTACTGTAATACTACTAACACGTCAGATACTACTGTAATACTACTAACACGTCAGATACTACTGTAATACTACTAACACGTCAGATACTACTGTAATACTACTAACACGTCAGATACTACTGTAATACTACTAACACGTCAGATACTACTGTAATACTACTAACACGTCAGATACTACTGTAATACTACTAACACGTCAGATACTACTGTAATACTACTAACACGTCAGATACTACTGTAATACTACTAACACGTCAGATACTACTGTAATACTACTAACACGTCAGATACTACTGTAATACTACTAACACGTCAGATACTACTGTAATACTACTAACACGTCAGATACTACTGTAATACTACTAACACGTCAGATACTACTGTAATACTACTAACACGTCAGATACTACTGTAATACTACTAACAAATACTACTGAAATACTAGTAACATGTCAGATACTACTGTAATAATACTAACACTTCAGATACTACTTTAATACTACTAACACATCACATACTACTGTAATACTACTAACACGTCATATACTATTGTAATACTACTGTAATACTACTAACATGTCAGATACTAATGTAATACTACTAACAGGTCGGTTATTCTACCGTAATACTACTGTAAAACTACTAACACCTCTGTAATAATACTGTAATACTACTAACAAATCTGCAATACCACTGTAATACTACTAACTCTTCAAATACTACTATAATACTACTAACACGTCATACTGCTGTAATACTACTAATACGTCAGATACTGCTGTAATACTACTGAAATACTAGTAACATGTCAGATACTACTGTAATACTACTAACACTTCAGATACTACTGTAATACTACAAACACGTCATACTACTGCAATACTACTAATACATAAGATACTGCTATAATACTACTGTAATACTACTAACACGTCATACTACTGTAATACGGCTAATATGTCAGATACTGCTGTAATACTACTGTAATACTAGTAACATGTCAGATACTACTGTAATACTACTAACACTTCAGATACTACTGTAATACTACTAACACGTCAGATACTACTGTAATACTACTAACACTTCATATACAACTATAATACTACTAACACGTCAGATACTACTGTAATACTACTAACACTTCATATACACCTATAATACTACTAACACGTTAGATACTGCTGTAATACTACTAACGCTTCATATACTACTATAATACTACTAACACGTCATACTGCTGTAATACTACTAATACATCAGATACTGCTGTAATACTACTGAAATACTAGTAACATGTCAGATACTACTGTAATAATACTAACACTTCAGATACTACTTTAATACTACTAACACGTCAGATACTACTGTAATACTACTAACACGTCATATACTATTGTAATACTACTGTAATACTACTAACATGTCAGATACTAATGTAATACTACTAACAGGTCGGTTATTCTACCGTAATACTACTGTAAAACTACTAACACCTCTGTAATAATACTGTAATACTACTAACAAATCTGCAATACCACTGTAATACTACTAACTCGTCAAATACTACTGTAATACTACTAATACGTGAGACACTACTGTAATACTACAAACATGTCAGATACTACTGTATTATTACTGTAATACTACAAACACGTCAGATACTGCTGTTGTACTACTGTAATACTACTAACACATCATACTACTGCAATACTACTAATACGTCAGATACTGCTGTAATACTACTGTAATACTACTGTAATACTACTAACACCTCATACTACTGTAATACTACTAACACTTCAGATACTACTATTATACTACTAACACATCTGTAATACTACTGTAATACTACTTTAATACTACTAACACATCAGATACTACTGTAATACTACGAACACGTCAGATGCTACTGTAATACCACTGTAATACTACAAACACTTCAGATACTACTGTAATACTCGTAACACGTCAAATACTTTTGTAATACTACTGTAATACTACTAAAAAAATCAGCAATACTACTGCAATACTACTAATACTATTAACATGTCTGTAATACTACTGTAATACTACTAACACGTCTGCAATACTACTGCAATACTACTAACACGTCTGGAATACTACAGCAATACAACTAACACGTCTGGAATACTACTGTAATACTACTAACAAATCTGCAATATTACTGTAATACTACTAACACGTCTGCAATACTACTGTAATACTACTAACACATCTGTAATACTACAGTAATACTACTGTAACACTACTAACACATCTGTTATACTACTGCAATACTACTGTAATACTACTAACATGTCTGTAATACTACTGTTATACTAACACTTCAGATACTACTGTAATACTGCTAACATATCAGATACTACTGTAATACTACTGTAATACTACTAACACGGCAAATACTACTGTAATACTACTAATACATGAGATACTACTGTAATACTACTAACACGTCATACTACTGTAATACTACTAATACGTTAGATACTGCTGTAATACTACTGTAATACTACTAACATGTCAGATACTACTGTAATACTACAAACACGTCAGATACTACTATAATACTGCTGACATATAAAATACTATTGTAATATTACTGTAATACTATAAACACGTCATATACTGCTGTTATACTACT